AGAAAAGGCCTTCGAAAGATAAAGTCAAATGAGGTCATAAGGGTGAGGTCCTTTTTTGACGAGACTAGTGTCCTTTTAAAAGAAGACACTAGAATACATGCTGAGGAAAGGCCATGTTAAGACACAATAAGAACATGACCATCTGAAACCCAAAAAGAGATCCCTTACCAGAAACCAACCATGATGGCATCCTAATCTCAGACTTTCAGCCTCTGGAACAGTGAAAAACTAAATTTCTGCTGTTGAAGTTACCCAATCTATATATTTTATTATGGCAAACCAAGCTGAATAAAACAACAGATTATCACAATACTGTAATTAGAGTTACATACACACACATATAGTAATGAGTTGTTTTACAGTAATTAGAGTCCAACCTCACATTCAATATTAAAATAAATTATTAGTTTGTGAATTATATGTTAAAAAAGAAACTATATAAATACTAAAATTAAATATAGACAAATAATTATATTTCTCTGGAATAAGGAAAACATAAATAGTAAAGATAAAGATCAATAAATTTAACTGCATAAAAAATTTTAAACTTTTGTAAAGCCATGATAAAGGACACCAAAGGTCAGAGACACATGAAACTAAGAAAATATTTACAATCAGATAACAATCTATTAATATATATCAGACTAGAGATTAATATTCAGATTAAAGTTAATGTTAAAAATTAACATCCATGTGTTACTAATAAATATAAAATAAAATGACTAAAATACAAAATAAAGGTTATGTATATGAACAGGAAATTATAAGAAGAAAAATGAATAAAAAGCATGTGAAGAGGTTTTTACTCTCAGTATTAAAGAAAAATATTAAATTAAGATATAATTTCTGACATTACTAGATTAGGAATGACTTTTTTCTATTTTTATAAATAACTTTCTGTGGAATAACAGGAATAGGGAAATGGGAATTCTCAAAGATGATGTTTAGTGTGATAAATGGGTCAGTGTTTCTATAAAGCAAATTAGCAATATACACCCAGAGCCTCAGAAATACATAGACCCTTTAAGTCACTACATTCACGTCTAAGAATTTATCCTAAGAATAATCAATTGTCCAAGGATAAGTTAGTAAGAATATTTACTGCAATGTTAATAACAGCTTAAAAAACTTTTTTTAAAAAGCTTATCAAGTGAATTAATTTTTAAAAGGGTACATCCCTAAGGTGAATATTATTTGAATGCACATTAAAATTTACACAAATTCATTACCTATTAAGTGAAAAATACATCATGTTTTACTTAAAATATATATTGTATTATCATGTATTCATACATAGAAAAAAGTCACCTCAAATTTACATATAAGACAGATAATAATTATGCCAGGGACCATGGCCAAATTCATTACTATTAATAATCAATATTTCCTATCTTTCATTAATCATGGTATCTTTGTATAATTTTTTATGTATTAATAACAGCACACCATAAAATGGAAAAAAGTAAGACATTTAAAAAATGATCCTAGGACAATGGATATAGTATGGCAAAAAAATAAAATGAGATTGTTTAATCATCCCCTAAATGACATTAAGAACAGGTGGTAGTAAATACATAAATGTGTAAAAATCAAGCCATAAAATAGGTAAGAGTCTTTTTTAGTTTCAAACAGACAGAAACATTAAAAAAATACTTTTAAATATGAAAGATTTTACTATGATGCAAGCGTATAATGGTAAAAATGCCAGATAAAGTCCTTGGACACATATAAGCAATGGGAGAAATTTTTAAGTAAGATAAATATAAAATTAGATATGTAAATATTTAATATTTCTAAATACTAAAGAAGAAACTACCAAGAAAAAAGGAGAAAATATTGCGACACATTCAGTAACAACATAACCTCTTCAGTTTCAAACTGATACATTAATCAATAAAACTAGATTTAGAAAAGACAGAAGAACCAGAGATCAAATTGCCAATATCCGCTGGATCATAGAAAAAGAAAGAGAATTCCAGTAAAACATCTACTTCTGCTTCATTGATTATGCTAAAGCCTTTGACTGAGTGGCTCACAACAAACTGTGGAAAATTCTTAAAGGGATGGGAATACAACCACCTTATCTGCTTCCTGAGAAACCTGTATGCAGGTCAAAACACAACACAGTTAGAACTGGACATGGAACAACGGATCCAAATTGGGAAAGGAGTATGTCAATGCTGTATATTGTCACCCTGCTTATTTAACTTATGTGCAGAGTACATCATGAGAAATGCCAGGCTAGATAAAGCAAAAGCTAGATGCAACACTGCCAGGATAAATACCAATAACCTCAGATACACAGATGACACCACCCCTATGGCAGAAAGTGAAGAGGAACTAAATTGCCTCTTCATGAAACTGAAAGAGGAGACTGAAAAAGCTGGCATATAACTCAACATTCAAAAAACATGGCATCTGGTCCCATCATTTCATAATAAATAGATGGGGAAACAACAGAAACAGTGACAGACTTTATTTTCTTGGGCTCCAAAATCACTGCAGATAGTGACTGCAGCCATGAAATTAAAGGACGCTTGCTCCTTGGAAGAAAAGATATGACAAACCCACATAGTGTATTAAAAAGCAGAGACATTACTTTGCCAACAAAGGTCTGTCTAGTCAAAGCTATGGTTTTTCCAGCAGTCATGTATGGATGTGAGAATCATAAAGAAGCCTGAGTGCTAAAGAATTGATGCTTTTGAACTGTGGTGTTGGAGAAAACTCTTGAGAGTCCCCTGGACTGCAAGGAGATTAAACCAAACAATCCTGAATATTCATTGGAATGACTGATCCTGAAGCTAAGGTTCCAATACCTTGGCCACCTGATGTGAATAACTGCCTCATTTGAAAAGACTCTGATGCTGGGAAAGATTGAAGGCAGGAGGAGAAAGGGATGATGGAGGACGAGATGGTTGGATGCCATCACTGACTTAATGGACATGAGTTTGAGCAAGCTCTGGGAGATGGTGAAGTACAGGGAAGGCTGATGTGCTGCAGTCCATGGGGTCACGAAGATTCGGACATGACTCAGAGACTGAACAATAAAGACAGACTCTACTACTTTAATTGCACAAAGGCATCTAAAGTAATCATATCCAAAAGTAACTTACGACTTTCCCACTCCAAGCCATCAATACCAACACTATCATCCAAGGAAGGAAACCATAAACGTAGGCCCTGATACTTCTTTTAACCTTATCTCTTATATTCAGTCCATCACAAAAGTATTATAAATCTTACTTCCTAAACACCTCTCAAACTCATCTACTTCTTTCCATATCTACTATCACTTTTGTCCAGCAATCATCGTCTCTTGTCTGGAATACTAGACCAGCCTACTAATAGCTCTTCTCCCCATATCCATTCTCATTCCTCATCCATTATTTAGCTAGAATAATCTTTTAAAAATAGAAATCTGATCTTCTCATTCCAATTAACTCTACTCCCATCCCGAACACACATACTCCACTTACCTCACTGTTTAAAGGGTCAAACAGGCCCTAAATAATGTGCAATCTTCCTATTTTTTTTATTCTTACTTCCTACCATACTTCCCTAGGGTTCTATGTCTTATGTTCTAACCACTTGGAGCATTGTTCAGTTTCCTTTAAAGTGGCTACACTCCCTTCAACTTCTAGATTTTAGACATGATATTTACTCTGGAAAAGACCCTGAGGCTGGGAGGGATTGGGGGCAGGAGGGGAAGGGGACGACAGAGGATGAGATGGCTGGATGGCATCACAGACTCGACAGACATGAGTTTGAGTAAACTCCGGGAGTTGGTGACGGACAGGAAGGCCTGGCGTGCTGCAATTCATGGGGTCGCAAAGAGTCGGACACGACTGAGTGACTGAACCGAACTGAACTGATTTACTCTGGAACACTTAATAATGAATAGATAGACACTTGTACGGTTATGAATGACTTTTAAGCTTCTGGTCAACAAAATAATATGCATACTAGAACATTTCTTGAAATTTTTAAAATACCAAATTATCTTTTATTATTAACTTCTCACTATTGTTCCTCACTTTCATACATAATAGTACCACAAAGTCCTTGCACTACTGCTCTTTATACATAGTATGATCTTTTAATTGATCTTTGCCCAAATACTGACTGCTTGATATTTAGATCTCAGAATGCCATGTCATATCAACTTATCAAAATCAGACACTTTGTTGTCCTAATATATCACTCATTTTTAATTGCACTGCATTATCACTGTCTGATATTATTATTGATTAGTTTATTGGGAATCTCTCCAATCATAATACAGCTCTCTGAGAACAAAGTCCTTAGTCTTATTTATTCTTGTATTGCTATCATCAACATGTAATCCTTGTTCAAGAAATATTGAATGAATGACTAAATGAATAAATCAGAGCCAGGATTCTCCACCTGTAATAAAGTAGATTATCATTAAAAATTGATGCTATCATAAAACAGATCAATAGAGCATGGAAACTGAAAATCAGGCAACTTATTGAAACGTTATGGAGTAAGAATAAATCTGTGAGCTCCAAACCAGTATTAACAGGCATTACAAAGGCAACATGGCATAGTGGCTAAGAACATGGGCTCTGCAGTCATACTGTCAAGGTTCAAATCCAAGCTCTACCACTTATTGGGTGATACTGGGCTAGTTACTTAACCTCTCTGAGGTTGTTCTGCAGTCTACATGACAAATATAAAAATAGTATCTGCCTGAGAAAGATGAAGTGAAGATGAAATATATATGCAGTACACAGTAACAATACAATAACAATGCCTGAGACATAGAGAACAATCAGTTACTATTAGCTGTTGTTTTCTTAATGCAAAGAACATCCACAAAAGAGGGCTTAGCATTAGAGAACGTGCAGTTTGAAGTGGTTACTTCCATACATCTTTCATGAGTAAATGATATTCATAGGATGATTTTAAAGCTGTAGAAGACTGAATACTGTAGAGACAATTAGCTTGAAGTAAAAATTCATCTTGGGTGTCTTACATACCGAGTGAGTACGGAGTGCTGCGACGGTTTTTGAAAGTGCCATTTCCCACAGTTCATCAATGTAGGCTCTATTTACTAAGCCTTGTGTTGTATGTAAAATGTGATCTTCAACCACAAAAAAACTAAGATTGAGGAAAAAAACAAAGCACAGCTGTCAGAAAATAGTTTGATTACTATTTTCAGCATGTCACAAACATTAAGAGCTGCCATTAAATTTGAAGGTAATTCTAGTGTTTTTTCTTAAAGAAAGCTATTTGGTATAACAAACAAAATCAGATTTATTAGACTTGGAATTATATCTTTGATCATGATATCACTTTAATCACTTCAAGAGGAACTGGAATTACATTTGCATTAAATGTTAACCATGCTACCCTGGAATTTAAAAGGAAGAAAAAATGTTTATAGATAAAGGAGACTAGTTTCACTACATTAAAAATACCAGGCCATTAAAACATTTTACAAAAAAACAACAAAAGTTAAAATACCCATTATTTTAAGACTCCAACACACAAAATATTAAAACAGTTCCCCTTATACAAAACTTTTTCATCAAAGTGTTGAAAAGATATAGACAAAGGTAAAAAAATACACACATATTTTTTAACATTCTGCTGTGGTGTCCTAATTTTTATGCATCTGAAATGTATCTTTAGCTATCTTACCTAAATATTCATACTAATTAAAACAATTCTTTAAATAGAGAATTGTTCATGATAATACTTTAATAAAGTTAACAATTACATTACAACAATTTGAATTTGAAAAAGAAAGAAATTTCATGGAACAATTCAACTTACTTCCCTTTTTTCACTACAAAGTCACTATTTTGCAATAAGAATAAGCTGCCTATATTTGGGAAGCTTATTGGGGAACTGCAATTCCAAACTAGTATATATTCTCAAGATGAAGGTGGCAAACTATACAGTCCATGGAATAAATTTGGCACACTGCTTACTTTTATAAATACTGTTTTACTGGAACACACCAATTGTGTCTCATGTACATATTGTCTATAGCTGTTTTTGTACTGCAGCAGAGCTGAATAGCTGCAACAGAAACCATTTGGTCTGCCGAACCTAAAACACGTTACCACGTGGCTCCTTTAGAAAAAATGTGCCAACGTTTTGTTGATTGCTTGGTTCTCTCTTAACAGAAATGGAAAAGCAAAATATCACACATAATAAGGTTACAATTCAACATTATTCTTCATTCTCCATAAAAAGTATTCTCCAACAATATAATGTTGAAACAAATAGACATTCCTTTAAAATCATCAGATATTCAAAACCTAACCTTGTTTTAAGAATTTAAATAAAGAAAAGAAGAATAAATTCCCAAAGAACACTTGTTATACTTTTCCAAGTCTCAGGAAAAGCGTACAAACTATTGAAAGTATATAAATTCAAAACATACACACAAATACCCACCCGACAATTTGATTAAAATACTTCCTGTAGCCATCTAAAGTTTCATGCTACAAAAAAGCAAAGAAGAAAAAAGTTATTGTTTTTGTTTTGATAAAGACACAAATCAGCTAATTAACTTCTTAAGGCTCAATTCCCAAGACTATAAAGTAAATACAATAAGAGTACCTATGCATCTATGCCCAACCACTAATGCTGAAAAAGCCGAAGTTGAACAGTTCTATGAAGACCCACAAGACCTTCTAGAACTAACAAGGTGTCCAAAAAAAGATGTCCTTTTCATTATAGGGCATTGAAATGCAAAAGTAGGACAGCAAGAGATACCTGGAACAACAGGCAAGTTTGGCTTCAGAGTACAAAGTGAAGTGGGGCAAACACTAACAGAGTTTTGCCAAGAGAACACACTGATCAGAGCAAACACCGTGTTACAACAACAGAAGAGAAAGAGACGACTCTACATATGGACGTCACCAGATGGTCAGTACCAAAATCAGACTGATTATAGTCTCTGCAGCTGAAGATGGTAAAGCTCTATACAGTCAGCAAAAACAAGATCGAGAACCAACTGTGGCTCAGATAATGAACTCCTTAGTGTAAAATTCAGACTTAAATTGAAGTAAGTAGGGACAACCACTAGGCCATTCGAGTATGACCTAAATCGAATCCCTTACGATTATACAGTAGAACTGACAAATAGATTCAAGGGATTAGATCTGACAGACAGAATGCCCGAAGAACCAAGGACAGAGGTTCCTAACATTGTACAGGAGGCGGTAATCAAAATCATCCCCCAGAAAAAGAAATGCAAAAAGGCAAAATGGTTGTCTGAGGAGGGCTTACAGATAGTTGAAAAAATAAGAGAAGCAAAAGTCAAAGAAGAAAGGAAAAAACATAGCCAGCTGAATGCAGAGTTCCAAAGAATAGCAAGGAGAGATAAGAAATCCTAAAGTGAACAATTCAAAGAAACAGAGAAAAACAATAGAATGGGAAAGACTAGAGATCTCTTTAAGAAAATTATCAAAGGAACATTTCATGCAAAGATGGGCATAATAAAGGACAGAAATGGTATGGACCTAACAAAAGCAGAAGATATTAAGAAGAGGTGTCAAGAATACACAGAAGAACTATACAAAAAAGGTCTTAGTGGCCCAGATAACCACGATGGTGTGATCACTCACCTAGAGCCAGACATCCTGGAATGGGAAGTCAAGTGCACCTAAGAAAGCATCACTATGAACACAACTAATGCAGGTGATGGAATTTCCGCTGAGCTATTTCAAATCCTAAAAGATGATGCAGTTAAAAGTGCTGCACTCAATATATCAGCAAATTTAGAAAACTCAGCAGTAGTCATAGGACAGGAAATGTCAGTTTTCATTTGAATTCCAAAGAAGGGCAATGTCAAAGAATGTTCAAACTGCCCCACAATTGCACTCATGTTATATGCTAGCAAGGTAATACTCAAAATCCTTCAAGCGAGGCTTTAACAGTACATGAATTAAGAACTTTCAGATGTCCAAGCAGGATTTAGAAAAGGCAGATGAACCAGAGAACAAACTGCCAATATCAGATGGATCACAGAAAAATCAAGCAATTGCAGAAACACATCTACTTCTGCTTCATTGGCTATGCTAAAATCTCTGTGTAGATCAGAACAAACTGTAGAAAATTTTTCAAGAAATGGGAATACCAGACCACCTTACCTGCCTCCTGAGAAACCTGTATGCAGGTCAAGAAGCAACAGTTAGAATTGGAAATGGAACAATGGGCTGGTTCCAAATTTGGAAAGGAGTACATCAAGGCTGTATATTGTCACCCTGTTTATTTAACTTATATGCAGAGTACATCATGTGAAACACTGGGCTGAAGGAACCTCAAGCTGGAATCAAGATTGTCGAGAGAAATGTCAATAATCTCAGATATGCAGATGACACCACCCTAACACCAGAAAGTGAAGAGGAAATAAAGAGCCTCTTGACGAAGGCAGAGAGTGAGAAAGCTGGCTTAAAACTCAACATTCAGAAAACAAAGATCATGGCATCCAGTCCCATCACTTCATGGCAAATAGATGGGGAAACAGGGGAAACAGTGACAGACTATATTTCTTGGGCTCCAAAATCACTGCAGATGGGGACTGCAGCCATGAAATTAAAAGACACTTGCTCCTTGTAAAAAAAGCTATGACAAACCTAGACTGCATATTCAAAAGCAGAGACATCATTTTGCCGACAAAAGTACGTATACTCAAAGCTATGGTTCTTCCAATAGTCATGTACCAATGTGAATGGTGTACCATAAAGAAGGCTGAGCATGAAACAATTGATGCCTTTGAACTGTGGTGCTGGAGAAGGCTCTTGAGATTCCCTTGGGCAGCAAGGTGATCAAATCAGGCAATCACACCTGACACAAAGCACTCACTCACTGGAAAAGACCCTGATGCTGGGAAAGATTGAGGGCAGGAGGCGAAGGGGTCGACAGAGGACAAGATGGTGGGATGGCATCACCGACTCAATGGACATGAGTTTGAGCAAACTTTGGGAGATAATGAAGCCCAGGGAAGCCTGGTGTGCTACAGTCCATGGGGTTGCAAAGAGTTGGACATGACTGGGTGACTCAACAACAACCTACCTTTATAGGATTACAGTGAGGATGAAATGAGACAATACATATCTAGTACTTAGAAGAATGCCTGAAACATAGCAATCAAGAAATGTTAGTTGCTACTTTCTTAGTGCAAGTCACATCTACCGAAAGTGGTCCCAGAATGACAATTTGGTTGGGGGGGGGGTGGGAATCACAAGTGGAAAATAATTAAAAGATATAGAAGAAAAATGGAAAAGGGAGAAAAATAAAAGTGGTTATCCTACCATGTTAGATGGAGGCTGGAGCACCAAACGAGCCTGTTTTCGCCTTTGTTTTCGGTAGTAGTTCTCAAACGTTTCCCGGGCCCCCTGTAAAACAAACGAAAGGAAATAGGTTGACACAATTGGGCCAACCACCCTAATATTTCATGGGAAAAGAGAAGCTACCAGGTCAGAAGCTAAGGCAGTCCCACATTTCTCACAATCTGTCATTTTAACAATAAAAACCATTGAAAAAACAAAAATAATTATTAGAACTTACTGAACCTTGTATACAAATCCCAATAGAAATGGACACAAGATTATTCAGAGGAAACTGTCAGAACTCAACCTCCAAAAACACCAAAGTTGGTTTCTGAACTAATTATCACAAATTTACAAGAAAAAAAAACAAACCAACATTCTTGTAGGTTATAATAACAGTTGAGAAAATGATCCTTTAAAAAAAAAAATACAGAACATTCCAGAAGAAAATTCCATAATAAAATCTAGTCTCAAAGAAATCACAAGCAAGAGGCCAAAAGAAGGCCAGAAAAAGGCAGAAGTTGAGAATAATGTCAGTCTTCTCAGACAGAAAGTTATCTAGCACAGGATTAACACCAAAAAGGAAGAAACAAAGGCCTGTAACTTTTCATTTAGGGTTTTTGGGCTTAAACTGAAAGGTACTCTAGAATACGAGAGCTGATTTATATGCTGTGTAACTAGGGTTCAACAGTGTCCTCTCGAAATTAATGTCCTTCCCCAGACCTCACAGCATGACCATTTAGAAAAGTCTTTACAGGTTTAATTAGTTAAATTAAGATGCAGTCATACTATAGCAGGGTGACCCTTAATCTAGCATAACTGGTGTCTTCATAAGAAGAGGAAAATGCTATATGAAGACAGCATGGGGAGAATTCACCATGGAGCCACAAGAAGAGACTGGAATGATACATCGCAACATCAAGGACTGCTGGCCACCACAGAAGCTGCGGAGAGGCAAGGAAGGATTCTACCCAGAATCTCAGAGAAAGGACAGCCTCCTAACATCCTGATTTTGGATTTCTACTCTCCAAAACAGTGACAGAAGAAATTTCTCTTATTTTAAGCCACCGAGTTGTGGTACTTGATTATAACAACCCTAGAAACTGATATGAGCTCAAAACTGTTAAAACATGATGCTCACCTATTATTAAAGTCTACTTGCAGCCCAAGACTTCTCTAAATAAACAAAAGTAGAAAGGGAGAGGCAGCATTGTAGAGTCGTTAAGAGTACTGATTTTAGAACCAGATGAATTTATTCAAATTATGGCCCAGCCCTTACTAACTGTATAACTCACGTGCTCCATCAGTCAGTTGTGTCTGACTCTTCCCAACCACATGGACTGCAGCTCGCCAGGCTTCTCTGTCCATGGGATTATCCAATAAGAATATTGGAGTGGGCTGTCATTTCCTCCTACAGTATAACTCATATGACTAGCTATATAATTTCCCTTTCATTAATTTAACTTCCACTGTTTAACTCTTCACCTTTCACTAGTAGACATGCCATGGCTTACTTATTTGTAGAGATGCCAACTTCCTATGTTTGTTATAAAGATTATCAAGAGTTATAAAGCTTTTAGAATACTGTCTTGATAAATAATAACCACTATTCAAATACTTATTTAAAACATAAGATGAAATCAGTGATGAAAGTGAAAGCCCCGCCCATGTGAAGATAGGTTTACTGTGAAAGTGTTAGTCATTTCAGTCACGTCTGACTCTGCGACTCTATGGACCATAGCCCGCCAGGCTCCTCTGTCCAGGCAAGAATATTGGAGTGGGTAGCCATTCCCTTCTCCAGGGGATCCTCCCAACCCAGGGATTGAACACAGGTCTCTTGCACAGAAGGAAGATTTTCCATGTACTATCTACCTTCAGTTTTTTTCACCTTCCCAAAAGTCTGAAGAATCTTACTCAACATGACTTCTTTGTTATACCTAAACTGGAAAAGCTATTTAAGGTACTAAATCATGCACACTTGATAGTGTAGCTCAGTGGTTGGCAAATGTTTTCTGTAATGGGCAGAACTGTAAATAGCTTTGTTGAGCCATGCAGTTGTAGTATACTACATGCTGCTGTAATATAAGAGCAGTCATAAACAATATCTAAATGAGTATGGCTCTGTTCCAATAAAGCCTTATTTGTAGAAATTGAAATTAGAATTTCATATCATTTTCATCTGTCATAAAATATTAGTCCTCTATGGGTAAAAAAATGATTTTTAGCCCATCATTTGAAAATGCAAAAGTTCACAAGGTCATACAAAAACAGGCAGTATGATGGACTTGACACAAGAGTCATGGTTTTACAACTCGTGGTGTAGTTTAAATATTTTAACACACTAAGGTTTTCACGACAGTATACATCTGAATTTTTCTGTCTGAAAAATGAAAACAAACCTTAAGACAGCTATTTCAAGACTTTCTTAGTCCATAAGTTAGTGAGGTAGCAAATAATTATATTTAAGAAATAAGTGGAAACTGCCTGTTGGTTTGTTAAAGTTATTCCCTACTTGTCACCATTTTCCAGCATAGTGGTATTATTAAAGGTCAATTACTTTTTGTACACAGTGAAGGACTTTTCATTTTAAGGTTAACAGCCCTAAAAGGCCCTTTATTGTGTTAGTGTGACATTACAGTTTCAACATACTTTTGAGCCAAGATACACTTAATTGAGAATTTAGGGAAAGCCTTGTTAATTAGGACACAGCATACTAACTGGGACTTCCCGGGTAGCTTAGTGATAAAGAATTCACCTTCAATGCAGGAGCTGCAGAAGACACGGGTTCAATCCCTGGGTCAGGAAGATCCCCTGGAAGAGGAAATGGCAACCTACTCCACTATTTTTGTCTGGAGAGCCCCATGGGCAGAGGAGCCTGGTGGGCTACAGTCCATAGGGTAGAAAAGAGTCGGACACAACTAAAGTGACTTAGCAGTACCATACTAATTTAATTATTTGTCATAAATGATAGAAAATAAAGAAGATGAAATTCTATATAAAATCCAAATCATGAACTTCTACTTAATTCTAAACTACATACATTTTGTTTTTTAATAAAATTAAAACATAAGAAAAGACCAATTTATCTAACAGGTCTGGCTTCTCCATTTATAAAAGTGAGTTAGATTTTCCCTAGTGGATGTTAAATAAATTCATCTCTGATTTTTCTATTTCCTTTGCCAATTTTGTCAACTCAATGCTTATAGGAAGAAATTGAGAAATAGATGTCTGCCCAATACAGCTTAGTAATTGAGGAAGTGCCTGCCTATTCACAAATAGGTCAATAGACAATGCACAATAGAGTGCTGCCACTTCGGCCTCAAACTCCTTTAACCACTCAAATGAAAAAAACAAAACACAAACCAAAAAAAGTCACCTGAAAAGCTAATAAAGGTATAAACAAAAAGATACAAAACAATAGGAAGGCAAGGTAAAAGTTGTTTTTTTTCATTTTATGTTTTTAGAATGACAGTGCTCCAAAGACTATACAATAATTCATGAAATAATACATACAATGTCACAGAAAAATCAGTTACAAAGTATATAAAGTGCTTACCCTGTGAAAGACACTAAGAATCTCCTCACTGAATTTATAGTCTACAGTGGGAAGACTAGAAATTAAACAAGCAATTATATTAAAATAAACTATAAAATCCTATGGATTGGAGTGGAATGTATAACTGAGTGTGTGTGTGTGTGTGTGTGTGTGTGTGTGTGTGTGTGTGTATGCATGCACATGATTGGGGAAGGGATAAATGTTAGAGAAAGATTCTCAGGAAAAAAAATAACATTTATACTCATAATTGAAGAATGACTCAGAAGAATAAGCCAGGTAAATAGAAAGTGGGGAAAAATGTTCCTTGTAGAGAGAGAGAGATTCAGTGAAAAAAGACATCACACATTCCATGAACTAAAAGAAGTTCTTCACAATTGGAACTTCAGGGTGTAAGGGAGAGATATGACAGGAGACAAGGCCGGAAGACTTTGTAAATCATGATAAGATATTTGGACTTCAACTCTAGTTTTAGACACCTGGAACTGTAATGTAGTAAGCAGAATGAAGGAAGGAGAAATTAGCTACAAAAGGATTAGACTCTGACATGTACTTAAAGAGGCACAAGCCAATTGGATATATGTGGTAAAGGATATGAAGGAAAGAAAACTGACATGAGATTTCTAACCTAGGTAACTAGTTTGGCTGGTGGTGTCATTTAATAAGAGAGGAACCAGGAGGAAATACAGTCAATTATTATTCATAGATTCCTAATTTGCAAATTTGCCTGCCTGCTAAAATTTATGTGTAGCCTCAAAATCAAAACTCATGGCACTTTCATAGTCATCCACAGACATACACAGAGTGGTAAAAATTTTGAGTTGCCTGATACACATGTTCCTATATATACATATCCAGATCTGAAGAAAACAAAAATACTAATTCAAAAAGATATATGCATCCCATTGTTCACAGCACCACTATCTGCAACTGCCAACTTATGGAAGCAACCTAAATGTCCATCAACAGCTGAGTGGATAAAGAAGATTTGGCAAATATATACAATTGAATACTATTCAGTCAAAAGAAAAAAATGAAATTCTGCCATTTGCAACATGAATGGACCTAGAGAGTATTATGCTTACTGAAGTAGGTTAGACAAAGGAAGATAAATACTGCATGTTATCACTTACGTGTGAAATATAAAAAAATAAATAACTGAATATTACAAAACAGAAAAAGACTCGAAGATATTGAGAATGAACAAATGATTACCATTAGGGAGAGGGAAGGAAGGAGGGACAAGACGTGTGTGGGGATTAAGTGGTACAAACTACTGCTGCTGCTGCCAAGTCGCTTCAGTCGTGTCCGACTCTGTGCGACCCCACAGACGGCAGCCCACCAGACTCCCCCGTCCCTGGGATTCTCCCGGCAAGAACACTGGAGTGGGTTGCCATTTCCTTCTCCAATGCATGAAAGTGAAAAGTGAAAGTGAAGTCGCTCAGTCGTGTCCAACTCGTCACCACCCCATGGACCGCAGCCTACCAGGCTCCTCTGTCCATGGGATTTTCCA